TTAATTCTTTTTCTTTATTTTTTTCTGTAAAAGGTTATCCATTTGGATAGTGAGGAAAGCGGTTAGTGGCTATACGGCTAACGGAAATCTGTCTAGTGAAGGACAGCTAAAGGTTGGGAACTTGGTTACATTCTCGCAATATTAAAGGCCTCATTACTTAGAGATCATGATAAGAAGAATTCAATGAATATGATTTTACTTTTATATATTTGATGGTTTGAAGGTTATATGGGTTTGAATTTTAATTCGTTTCAAGTTGTTTTCAATAATAAATAGGTGTAATACATTTTTTAAGGGCTATATATAAATAGTATAATTAGTTATTTTAGTACTGATTAAGAAGTAAAGGGAAATAAAAAACCATAAATTTTTAGAATAAACATATGAGTGGATTTGACGCGAGAAAGAATGTAGATCGATTAATTTCATCATCATTCTTTGCAGCCAGAATTAAACTGAGTTAAATCGGGTTTTGAAATTTCTTTAAAAGCATTTAAACCCCATTTTTAAAGCATTAATTTCCAAAGAAACTTTGATAACAATAATATTTTTTTAACATTTTGATTGTCAGAAATTTCCATTAAATAAATAATTAACAGTGATCTGCAAACTTCCAAGGAAATTTGTCATTGGTTTGAACACCCAGTAATTATATTGATTGTCTTCTGTGAGGTGAAGAGTAAATCGACCTATTAGGAACTGGCCTAAAGATAACTATGAAAATGGAGGCAATCAAAACAGTAAAAGTGAAGGACAGAAGTTTTCTATCAACAATTATTAGTTATTATAACCGACATTACGGGGGTTGATAATTTATCATACTAATACTTGTTTGTTGCATTAAAATTATAAAGTTTGAATTCAATTCTTGCAAAGAAAATGAACAAGCAATAGCATACAATGGCATAATTGTCTGTGAATTTTTCTCTTCGTACTGTACATTTTCTATAATAACAGAATAAATAATAAATAATATTTGTTTGAGAGTTCGAATAAATGAAATTATTAGTCAAATTATACGTCATGACTATTTACGAAAATTGGAATCTAATACTAACTCAAATAAATTCATTTTTTATAGTCGTATTATGTTTTTGAATTAATATTTTCACAAAACACATTAATTGATTTAACAAGGGCAATAATTTCATTAATAAAAACGTTGGCTATACTAACCCGCCAAAATTTGGTCCATAGTAATTTCATTAACCAAACTCCACTGGTAGAAACAACAACCGTTTTTACAATATTTTTACAATAACTTTATAATATTTCACTGGTGTTTGTAAAACTGTTGCAAAAATATTGTAAAAACGGTTTTTATGTCTTCACTATGTGAAATCTTTGTGAATTCCATTTTTTCTACCAGTAGTTCTTTTGACAATAATTTTGTCGGCCGGAACAACGTTGACAATAAGCACCTTAATAATGATTCCAACGAGCACTGTCATTGGTAATAATTGTATTGGCCAGAACACTGTTATTAGTCCAACTAGCATAATCAATGACAATAATAATGGTCTCCTTGACCAGAATCCAACTAGAATAATTTTTTCAATAATTTCGTTGATCAAAATATGCAAGAAAATCAACACATGTATGTATATGCATATATAACATTGTAAAAAAAATTTGGTTAACTAGTAAAAATTTTTTTGGTTTTTCTATCGTATTCGTTTCATCAATTTCATCAACTTGCCATATCAGCCGATTTGGTTTTTTGGGCCTTTTTTCAAACCTTATGTCTTGTTGTGTCTCGATGTTAAACACGAGTATTTTTAATGTGTAAACCGGTCAGTAGAGTGATAATTAACCCTAAAAAAATTTATTTGCTCCGCAAAAAAAAACTAATTTACTATTCAACAGCCCGTCAAACCAATGGCACCACATCAAACCAATGGGTTTTTGCTAGTATAAAGTATTCATAACGTTATGATCATACCGTAATGTAGTTGATTGTGCTAAGACAGTTTATTCAAGAGAGGGATTAATAGCATTTTATGTATCATACCCAACAACACTTTCAATGACAATACCATTTCAAGTCTTTCAATTCAGTTCATATGAATATTTTCGTAAAGTGTTAAATCCCAGTGGTCAATATGATCCAAAGACTCATGTTATGGCTGGTGGATTGGCAGGGGCAATTGCAGCAGCTGCAACAACACCTTTAGATGTCGCAAAAACTCTATTACAAACACGAGGCAACACAAATGATTTAAAAATAAGAAATTGCAATGGATTATTTGGAGCATTTAAAATTATTTATGAACGAAATGAACTAAAAGGGTTTTTCAGAGGATTAAGACCACGTGTGTTGTCTCATATGCCATCAACTGCTATTTGTTGGTCAGTTTACGAATATTTTAAATGGTTTATCAATAAAAAAGATATTTTAAACTATTTGTAATTAAGGTTCATAAATCACGCATGCATCTTCACTTATGGTGCAACCTCCAAAATCATCATCATAAATTCCATCCATCATCATTTCCAACATTGCAATCTAGTATAATTACTTATGCCAATATATATATATTTCTTACATCGAATTTGAGAGACTATTAGACGCAAAAACAGTAACAGCATAAATAATTATACAATAATGTACATATTCTTTAACCCTTTGGACATGCAAATATTTTGGGAAAATCTAACAAAAAAAAAAAAAGAGTCATTGAAATTATATTTATGGAATGATTCTTATAATCATAACAATACATTAATTTTTTTATTAATTTAATAAACATTTATTTGAGTTATTTAATATAATCTTCAAGTTACACTAAGTTAACTAGTGCGTCTGAATGTTCTATCCAAATATTATATATGACGTTGCCTTAAAAATAAATTGTCTTTGATCGCATCTTTAATCTATAATATAGTTGGCTTGGTCTAAAGACCTCCTAAATTTTGTGCAAATTTTAAAAGTATAGAAGTCATTTTCTGTCCTACCTTTTAAAAAAATAGCTCTATTAGTTGATGGAATAGGTCTTTAATTTTAATGTAATAAAGAGATTTTATCAAAAAAATTATTTGTTGTAGAGTTCTATTCTTTTTTAAAACATGTACTTTACTATGCTCATGAAGAATTTAGCGCTAGGATCATTGCTAAATTTAGACTAGTTTTAGTTCATCGTTACTAAATTTAGACTAATACTCGACAATCATGTCTAAATTTGGCAGGAAAAAAAATTTTTTTTAACCAAAATCACGTGAAGCCTTTTTGAAAAGTTTTTATTGCAATTTTTGAAATTTGAGCGTGTGGCGCAGCAATAGGAGGTCTTTAGACCGAGCCAACCATATATGTGATCAACTATGTTGGTAAATCATATGATATGAGACACCCCATTAATGCATGCAAAGGTAAATTAAATGTTATAAATATTTATGGAATCATGCTCACTTTGTATGTCTTTATTTATTTTAAACAAATAAAGTATGGTTTATACTAATCATTAAATTTTAATTATGACCAAACATTTTATAGGAAAACTTTATTATTGTAAGAAACCCTTTTTTTCTTATGTCAAAATACTAATTGTTTTAATTATTATTAAAAATACAAGTTATCTTTATTAATTACAGAAAGCTTATCTTTTTATACAAAATGCATAATATAATATTACAATTAAATAAATAAATTATTATCAATAATAATAATATCTTAGAACTTCCCGGAAAGCTGCAGCACTTAATTTATAACTCATATACATAAGAAAATAATATAAATAATAATAATATAAGTAATATAAATGATAATATAAGTAATACAAATAATAATATAAGTAATATAAATAATAAGTAATATAACAATAATATAAGTAAAGTTGTAACGTTTTGTTTTAATTTAACGTGTTACGCGAAATAAATTTCATATTACTGTGCAATATTACATATTCGCAATTAAGAACAAAAAAAGAATTGTTGCAATTATGGCGTGAAAAATGATCGATTTTTTATGAGCAATAATAACATTGGATGTAAGGAGTTAGTTAGAGTTGATGGAATTAATCCAGACACAAGAATTACAGGTAGAGAGCATTGTTGATATTAGATTAATAGAATTTATTAAAACTTGTAAATATAATATGATAATAACAATTGAAATGTCAAAGACTAACTAATCTCAATTCATGAATTTCCGGAAGAAAATATTGGATCAATACTATATATACAGTCAAATCTTGTTCCAATGAATCTATGAGGACACAAGAAAATTGCATCTAAAATTCATTATACCAAATTACAGTAACACGATTGCAACAAATTTAATTATAATTCATGATGACGCGTTGCAACAGATTTAATTATATTTCGTGGTGATAGTAATGCAATTGCAACAATTTAATTATAACTCATTGTATTTTTTCTAGCTTAGATTCTCATTGGTTGTGTATGTAAATTTTAATTATTAAAAAATAAATACTATTATCTTCATTTTCACTAATAAATTTAAATAGATATTATATTTTTTTTACATGAGAAACAAAAATTAATGAATAAAACAATCATAAATAAATAAATATATGATAATAAAATAATAATATCTGTTTTTTCTGAAATGTTAAATTTAAATATGTATATATATTTTTTTTTAATTATTTTCAAGAGGAATAGCCTCATATAAAGTTAATTTGGAATTTATTTTGTGAATTATTTTTATTATATTTACTTTATTCTAATAAAATTATATGAGCAGGATATTGCCTTTATTTAAAAAAAATAAAAAAATAATAACTAATTTGATTGTTTCATAAAAGTAATTAATGATTAATTACAAGAATAAACTTTATGATGTTGAATTTTCTATCTATTTTCTAAAAATAAATAATAAATAAATATGGTCGCGTAACAATTCTTTCTGATCGTATACCGCCAGGTCTAAAATAATAATTAATAGTATAATTGTTATTACAACCAAAATTTTTTGATGTTGAATTTTCTAAAAATAAATAATTAACACTGTAATAATAAATAAAATATGGTCGCGCAATTCTTTCTGATCATACACCACTAAATATAGTCACATAACAATTCCTTCTAATTTAACCATTAAACTTTGGAAAAAGAAAATTATGCATTCTCTCCTAGATGAATTGAGATAAATAATACCTTTTAATATTAATAATGCACTCTCCTAGACAAACAGAGACTTTAATATTAATAATTACATTCTCTCCTAGATAAATAAATATATAAACAAATAATTCTTTTATAATATAGTTATACATTTTTTTCCTATAATATCTATTACTTACTTTCATAAATAAAAGGTTGTAAACTTGATTCTCTTTTTTAAAATTTTTTTGCTGAATCCAATCTGTATAAAATTCCTGACATGACTGTTAAATTTCTATAAAATAGTTTTTCATAAGCCTCTCTAAAACTTATTAACAACATCCTCCATAAAGTAATAATCATATGAAAGCTTAAAGTATTTTACACCTCTTCAGTCACTATCAGGTCTTTTAAAGCGATATTGAAAAATAATTTGAGCTTTGAAGTGAAAAAGTAACTCCATTTTTGAATAGTCGTAGATTTATATAAAGAAGACCTTTCGATATGAAAGAGTATTTATTAGAAAGCTTTAATTGAGTATTTTCATTTTACTCTAACAACAAAGTTCGAGTTTATTATAAAAATAACGAGATATTTTAAAAAAAAAACTTCATGTGACAAGAATTAGAAATTTTTTATTTAATATAGAAATAATTTGAAAGGACATGTCACACGACTGATATGTAATTACACTTCTTGTGACATATCGTTTGACTGATAATAATAATAATAATAATAATGAATAAAACAAAATAATTCGAATAAACCTTATTCAAATAGAAGAAAACCCTAATACTAAATACTAATACTAATACTAATAAATGATTGAGTCATGTGATTCTGTAATATAATGACACCAAAGAATATCGTCTCTATTTTTGGATTTGAAAACTTGGCACTCAGCACAGCATTTGATGTCGTGCATTATATGCGAATTAGTGATCTACATTTTAACCTGTTTTTATCTACTCCTAATTGATCAGCTGCTACCCTTTAATTTTATTAAAATTAATTTTAGAAGTCCATGTGGAGATCATCTATGAAATATCAATGTGATCCACATGGGGTTTAAAAAATACATAATAATAAGTCGAAAAATTTCTGGGCCCGGCTTGGGTACACCCAGGCCATGACAATGACCACCCGAATGGAGAACCCAAATTAATTAAACTTTTAAAATCTCTTCCTTTCCATATGGACGGATATTATTAATTATTTTGTATAAAGGGTTCATATGACTTATCTATAACGGATTTACGTGATTAATGTCAATTATTTATAGATTTTTTTTGTTAATGATATATTGATTAGAGGACATGTTTATTGTTTCTTAATTGTTAATTTGTGTAATTTATTATTTATATGGGTTGGATATTGATAACTCGTATTAAAAATGTTAATAACAATAATACATATGATAAATATATATAAATAGAATACGAATAATATCAAATCCTGTCATAATAATAATAATGACTGATTCACTACTTCGTGTTCTAAACTCGTTCTTTTATAGGTAACCAAATTTTTCGTATTAGCAAAAAAGACGCTCGCTCACATGATAAAAATAATTTAAACTTATATATAGACAGATCTGTTTATCAACCGGGTAATTCGTGAGTTTATTTGACGAATGACTCGGGTAAGTGTTTATAGGCGGACTTAACCACTAAAGGTATAATAAACGACTCTCGATAAGTCGTTTCACCTGAAAATTTCATGGTGAGATTTTTTTTTAAAAAAAAAAAAAATTTATTTTACGATTTTTTCATAACTGGTTATTTATTACCCGCAAAAATCTCTCGCATTCAAACTAGATATATTATAATACAACATACTCGAAAATGAAAACGATATGACTTTTTTTCACGGACTAGTAGGATTATGAAAATATGGATTCTTATTGTTCTCGTTGATTTTAGTGATTTTGGTTACGATTCCTTACACAATTGGTATTTTATTACCTGCAAAAATCTCTCTATACAGTCAAAATAGATATATTAAACTACAACATACGCGAAAATGAAAACGACATGACTTTTTCACGAACTAGTAGGATTATGAAATATGTATTTTTATTATTCTCGTTGCAATATGATGATTTTAGTGTTTTTTAGTCACGATTTTTTCACAACTGGTATTTATTACCTGAAAAAATATCTCTATACAGTCAAACTAGATATATTATACTACAATATACTCGAAAATGAAAACGACATGACTTTTTTTCATGGACTAGTAGGATTATGAAATATGTATTTTATTATACCCATTACACTATTGGCAATTTTTGATCGTGACTTTTTCATCAATGGTGTTTGTTACCTTCAAAAATCTATCTGTATCAAT